CAGGGTTTCACCATGTTGACCAGGATGGTCTCGATCTCTTGACCTCGTGATCCACCCGCCTCGGCCTCCCAAAGTGCTGGGATTACAGGCTTGAGCCACCGCGCCCGGCAGTATATACATGTATTTCAATCTGATATAATAACACTATGAATTAGTCCAGATAAGTATTCTCGCTCCGATTTTATAGATAAGAAAATTAACTGCCTAAAAGGTTAAGTGGTTGGCCCAACGTTTCATGGTAAGGAAATGGCAGAGAGAAACAGCACACCATGGCAGGGATCCTGAGGAGAAGGAAAGAGGTGGGCCCATCAGAAGTGGACAGAGAAATCCCGTGGAGAGGGAGGGAGAGACCCAGCAGACAGGGGCTTCTCCATGCACAAACCCAAAGGGGAAGGGATTCCAGACTTGAGATATAGGTTACTCCTATATCCTTTTAAAAAAACAAAACCTTATTATACCCTTTTCTTTTCTTTCTTTCTTTTTGAGATGGAGTTTCACTCCTGTTGCCCAGGCTGGAATGCAATGCCATGATTTTCGCTCACTACAACCTCCGCCTCCCGCGTTCAAGTGATTCTCCTTCCTCAGCCTCCCAAACAGCTGAATTTATACCCATGCATACCCACCACATCTGGGTAATTTTTGTATTTTTAGTAGAGATGGGGTTTCACCATGTTGGCCAGGCTGGTCTCAAACTCCTGACCTCAAGTGATCCACCCACTTCAGCCTCCCAAAGTGCTGGGATTACAGGCGTGAGCCACCGCGCCCGGCCAATTTTTTTTTAAGAGCTGGGGTCTTGCTCATTGCCCAGGCTGATCTGGAACTCCTGGCCTCAAGCAGTTCTCCTGTCTTGGCCTTCCAAAGTGCTGGGATTATAGATGTGAGCCATCACACCTGGCCATATAGCATCGTTTTCAAAAAAGAAGGGTATGGGGAAGGGTATAGGCCAGGTGTGGTGGCTCACGCCTATAATCCCCGTACTTTGGGAGGCCAAAGTGGGCAGATCACTTGAGGTCATGAGTTTGAGACCAGCCTGGCCAATATGGTGAAACCCCATATCTACGAAAAACATAAAAATTAGCTGGGCGTTGTGGCGCATGCTACCTAGGAGGTAATCCCAGCTACCTAGGAGGCTGAGGAAAAAGAATCACTTGAACCCAGGAGGCAGAGGTTGCAGTGAGCTGGGATTGCACCACTGCATCCAAGCTTGGGCAATGAGGCAGGCGGATCATCTGAGGTCGGGAGTTCAAGACCAGCCTGACCAACATGGAGAAACTCCATCTCTACTAAAAATACAAAATTAGCTGGCCGTGGTGTTTCGTGTCTGTAATTCCAGCTACTCGGGAGGCTGAGGCAGCAGAATCACTTGAACCCAGGAGGCGGAGGTTGCGATGAGCCAAGATCGTGCCATTGCGCCCTAGGCTGGGCAACAAGAGGGAAACTCTGTCTCGAAAAAAAAAAAAGACAGCAAGAGAAAAGAATAATGCTGATGATGAAACATCTTGATTTTTGCCCAAGTCAGCTTTCTCTGCTTTGGGAATGGGAATTTTAGTTTTTAAAGATTTAAAATTTTCTTTAAATTTAAAGAGACTGTACCCAGACTCTTTATTTTTTTGATCAGTCTTGCACTTTGGCCCAGGCTGGAGTGCAGTGGCGCCATATAGGCTTACTGAAACCTCTGCATTCCAGGTTCAAGTGATTCTTAACTACAGATGTGTGCCACCACACCCAGCTGATTTTTGTATTTTTAGTAGAGACAGGGTTTCACCACATTGCCCAGGCTGGTCTCAAACTCCTGACCTAAAGTGATCTGCCTGCCTTGGCCTCCCAAAGTGCTGAAATTACACGTGTGAGCCACCACATCCAGCCAGAGATTCTTAAATTTTACAATTTGCCATCTGTGATGTTCCCCTGAGGCTCAAATCAGATCTCTCTTCACAAATGAAGCACTTATTGCCCTGGCTACTGGCAGTGCTATCAGAACAAGGCCCTCGGCTCTCAGCCCTGTGTGAAAGTGGCTAGAAAACTGCCTTGTCTAATGTCCAGCCTCCTACCAGATGCAGGGGAAGGGGCAGCCAGCACCCAATGCTTGATCAATGAGAGAAGGTAGGGAGCATAAGTCCAGATCCATCGTCCAGCTCCCCAACTTGGGACAAATTAAAGGGGCACTTCAGTTCCAGAGCTGTCTGTGGGATAGGCTGAGACCTCACCGGGACTATAACACAAGCTTGGCCCCTCCCTCTGTCCACTCTTGCTTCCTTCTCCTCCTTTCCACAGGCGTGGATCCCAAGAGTACTCCCTAATAATGTCTTGTATGATTATTGACATCTCGGAGTCAGCTTCCCAAGAACCCAACCTATGACACCACCCAAATAAATAGCAGCATCTAATTAGACTAAAAACTAGCCTTTGAAATAAAGACACGCATACACACAAATTACAACATACGAATTTGACGGTTGTTCCTCCATCACTTCTGGCTTTAGCTAAAGTGCTCTGTTGAATCCTCTCAGATCATCAGATCTAAAACACATCCACAGCACAAATATACACAAACACACTAGGCTACAGACACATTCCCTTTTGCTCATTAATCCTCACTGCCATCACCTGGTCTGGGCTTCTGTTCGTTTGTTTCAAATACATGAACCTCTGCCTTAGTGTCCTCTCACCTACCTCTGTTGCAGGATTACCTATGTCTGCCTGTGGCCTGACTGTGCCAATACTCCCAAGTCTACTGTGACTGCCTACCATTGCATCATGAGTCAAGGCCAGCCTTACCACCATGCCCTTTCCAGGACACCTCAGCCATCCTGGTACAAATACCCCTTCTTGTTCTTGAACAGGCCTCTGGAACCAGACTGCCTGCATTCAAATCCCAGCTCTGGGCTGGGCACAGTAGCTCATGCCTATAATCTCAGCACTTTGGGAGGCCAAGGCGGGAGGATCACCTGAGGTCGAGAGTTCGAGACCAACCTGACCAACATGGAGAAACCTCGTCTCTACTAAAAATATAAAAATTGGCCAGGTGTGGTGGCATATGCCTATAATCCCAGCTACTCAAGAGGCTGAGGCAGGAGAATTGCTTGAACCCGGGAGGCGG